ATATCTGCTCAGAAATATGTCTGGGTTCAATGGGACTTTAACTAAATAAATACGGAATAGCAATTTAAAGGAATCTGTTGTTGTTGTTTTTTAAAAAAGGCAGATGTTTTAAATATTTTTCACCATTCTGAAAATAACTTCTTTTATGTTAAACATCATAACTATATGGGTATAGATACAGAACAAGTGCATGCCAATAATTATTCTGGAAAACTCAAGTATAAAAATACATTGGATGTATCTATTTTTGCACTTATTCAAGGATGCTTCTATGAGTTTTCTGATATTTCTTTCTACTTAGAATATTCTATCTAATTAGACTATTAGAGCCAGTAAGACCTAGGCATATACATAGAGTAGGAGTGCCACTAAATACAAGATAAAAATGCTCAAAAATTGAGCACATTTGTATTTGAAAATGAAGATATCCTATGATATTGGACAGAGAACACCCAATTCAACCTATGTTGTATCATATTTTTTCAGTTATGAACCTCAAATATTATATTTTTTAAAAAAATATTATGATACTATGAATCAGATTATTGGTTTTGAAAATGAAAACAAAACTCCTTTCTCTATAAAAAGTGACTTTTAACTTTTTCTTGAATATCAATATCTTATAGGAAATTTTTCTACAAGTTTTAAAATTCACATTCACTCACTAAGATATCTTCTTTAGTTTATTATTAAATAACAGTCCATAATATCAAGTTATTTAAATAACAGATATATTATTTATAAATTTCTTCTCTATCAATTAAAAACCCTTTCTAAATAGTGATACCTGAACTAAATACATGTGCGCATTGTGGAGGAAGGGGAGGAATAATCTTAGCATATTTTCCACGATAATTATGGCTACAATCCCAAACCCTATTTTTATAATGACATAAATAGCAGTAACTCATTGATATTTACTCTTGAGTTTATTTTCTTAGATTTGCACTCTGACATTCGGAGTCCTGGCTTTAGTCCATATATTGCCTCCCTTTTCTTACAAGAGACTAATTTATGCATTTTTCAAAGCTTAGGCCTGTGCATTAGAAAATATGGTACCATATTTATATGAGGAAATAAATATTACAAAGTAACTTTATTAGGGCTTGATCATCTAATATGGATTGAATGTTGTTGTTGAGATGCAACGTGAAAAAGTTTGTGAAAACATTCCTTTCAAGGATGGACTAGAATTGGGTTGCTGAACTAGGCAGTAAGTTGGGCCGTATCACCTCTGAGATCCCTTCCAATCCTTACATTCTATGTATTCTATGAATATATTTGTGTTAGAACTTGAAAAGTTCATATATATTTTCAAAACCAACTTATTAAAAGTATGATTGCCATAAAGTAAATTTAATAATATATTAGACAAACTAGGTCAGGGGTGTCAAACTGGCAACCCACAGGCTGGATGCATCACATGCAGGCCACGCCCACCCCGGCTCCGTAAAGGCAAAAAATGGTGCGATACGTCATGATACGTCACATGACGCAAGCAAGTTTGACACCCATGATCTAGGTCATATAATCTGATATGAGCATGCACAAAATCACAAACAGCCATTTTGTCCAGCACCTCAATAAAAAACAGGTAGAAGCTGTCTTTCCCGACAAAGGAGATTGGCTTCTGGCCATTACATCACATTGATGGAAGAGGTACAAGAAGTTGAACCTTGATTTCACTATAAATAGCAGTTGCATTTATATAACACTAATTAGAATCCTCTGATAATAGCTTCATTAGTTTTTCTACAATAAATCTATTTATCCTTGGATGCTTGTTCAGGTATTTCCAGTCTAATTTGCCAAGAGAATCATGGTAAAGGGGTGTTTAAGAGAGAAGGATATAATATATAGACTTGAATGAAGCTAGTTTGACCTTGTGGTTTAACTATATATGCGAGTTTAATTGTAAATTAAAACACCAAAGCGTATGTCAAATAGTATGAAATAATGTTATCAAGAGTTTGTGAGTATATTTACAAACAGAAGTGAATGGCAGTAATGGAAGAGTCATAGATAAATTATGGGAAAAATGGTATTAAAAGGTTTTTTTTATTATGAATGTAATATAAATACATCCATGGAAAAATAAAGGCAAGTAACTTAGATAAACTTATTAATATAGCTGGAACGGCAGATAATACTGGGTTAAAAAATATTCAGTTTTGTAATTTGTTTTCACAAAAAAAGATCAAGCTTCCTATTTCAGTTCAGTTCTGATGTATAATATGCATTTATTTTCACAGGTTTTTATTTAGAAATCTTAAAATGTGGAGTTTCAGAAAGTCCACTTGGCCTTTCTAAGAAAGTTTCCCGAATTCATAGTAAAAATGATTTCTTGCAGCTGAAGAGACATAAAGCTAATTCACACTTGCAGTTTACAAGTCCACTAATCCACAATCAGATGAAGTGTGAACTCAGCTGCTCAGGAATAATTGTCCCCTAATCCTTAGCAATTTGCACTTCATTAATGAAGTGAGAATTAATCCTTACTACTATCCTGATGAATTGCACGAAGGGGTTGCTCCAGTTCTGATGCCTCTATCCCAAATAATAGAGGTGGAGCTAACAGGATAATTTTAGCCTTTGTTGTTATACACTTTCTTTGTAAAAGAGAACATGCTTTGTAGAGAACATGCTTTGTAGAGAACATATTTGACTCACAATGTTCTAGGTATCTCACAGCAATGGTTAGCACAAATACAGCATATACAAATAGAAAATAGAAGAAAAATATAGTCATTAAGGATAAGCAATATACTTCTTGACAATGTGTTAAATATGCTCATTTCTCTCCAAGGAACTGATGGTGAGATAATACTCCATTAACAAATGAAAAGAAGTGCTAGTATCTGACTGCTCCATTCATATAGCAATATCCTCAAAAACAGTGTGCAGGGACCAAATTCAGTAAGTTTAACATAAGCAAAGCACTGAAGTAAACAAGGAACTTTCTAATCAATAAGCAAATGAGCTTTTATCAATATTTTGATGGAGACTACAATTATTGTCATATGCAACTATTTCAATAGGCTTTAATGTTCTGTTATATTAGTCCTGTTTTTATTGTTATATTCTGGTTTACTGGTAAACTTACACACTATTATACTAATACATACTATTTACAAAAGGGTGAAATTGTTTTAGGAAATCAGTGTGAATGAACAGCCAATTTGTAATTATTTTTTTCATTATTTTGAGGTTTTTTGAGCTGTAAGTAAAATTGTACTTACAAAAATACATCTCCTCTATTTGCTGCTGTATAGGAGAGCAGAATGATCTTAAGATTCTGATTTTGGCTAAAAAAAGACTTTCCAATTTTGGTTAGAAAAAGAATTCAAACATCTATTCCATTAGACAGAAAAGAGTTAGAATTTTCTATATCTCTTCTGCCATCTAAATGGCCTAAATATGGTGTGCTTTCTTAATGACAAATATTTCACACATTAGTCAAATTCTAGCAACAAATATGTTTTATTCTATCCTTAACAGTGGGAAAATTCCCATTTGAATAAATATTAGATTTTCCATTAATCTTCCTCTGGCATTTTATCCTACTGCATTATATCAAATACATTATATTTATCAGGATTTTTTATACAAATGCCTGCTTTATGCAATTCCAATTAAATTTTACTTACAAGTTTACTTTATATATGAATCTAATTTTTTTTCTTGTACTGGATAACCAGAAGCCTACAGAGTTCCAGTGATACCCAAGTGAATTAGCTACTAGGTTGTCCAAACTAATGAACCTGACCTCCTTTAAATTAATCTCCTTTTAATGCTACACGGTTGTTGGAAAATAGGAGGAGAGGAATATTAGGCATCTTCGCTCCCAGTTACTTATGGAAATAATAAAGGTGGGAAATAAATAAACAAGAAGGTTAAAGAATACCAATAAGCTATGTTTATGCCTTTTATTATCAACTATCAAACCAACAGTTAAGATTTACCCTGCAGCTAGCACTTGTTCAAGGAACAGTAAAGGCTTTGGAGAAAAATGTTCAGATATCATGATGTGTCTATGTCTATAGAAGTGAGAAATGTGCAGGCAATGGCTTTCCTTGTGATAGTCTAATAAGAAAGAAAGAAAGAAAGAAAGAAAGAAAGAAAGAAAGAAAGAAAGAAAGAAAGAAAGAAAGAAAGAAAACAAATTGTCTATATCAGGGGTGTCAAACTCGTAAAGTCATGTGACATGTCGCGACATATCGTGACTTTTTTTCCATTGCTGGCAATGGGGTGGGTGCAGTTTCAGCATGACGCATCCGGCCCGCAGGCCGGCAATTTGACACCCCTGGTCTACATGGATCATAGACAAATTAACTTTGGTTGTCATTTGAAGTGCAAATGATCAGGCTCAAATTATGATATTTTGGATATTTTATACAAAGGCCTAGCAATTTTGAGAAGTCTATAATGTTGTGAAAGACATAGAAACAGATGAGTAGAAGAAAAGTATATGGACTCAATTATAGCAGTGATCAATGCACTGCTGGAAAACATAAAGGACCAGGCAGGAGACAGATCAATGTCAATGTATGGGGTTACTATTGTCAACATCAACTTTATAGCACATAATTAGTCAATCAAATCACTGCAAGTATTTACGGTACATACTTTAATCATTTACCCTCTCGTTCACTTTTTTTCTGTACCTCAAATCTCCAGTTCTTGCTCCAGGTCCTGCCAACCTTGCAGTTTGAAAGCATGCAAATGCAAGTAGATAAATAGGTACCACTTTGGTGGGAAGGTAACAGCATTCCATGTGCCTCCATGTATAGTAATGCTTACAACATGACCATGGAAGTGCCTTTGGACAATGGAGATGAAGACTGCCCCCTAGAGTCAAACATGACTGGATAGGGGAAACCTTTACCTTTATCTTCACCTTAGATGTCAGGACACTGATCTGAATAGGTGACCCACTAAAATACTAAAACATCAAAATGCTATTCAATAAACCAGTAATTTCCTGATGGCAAACAACTAGCTTATTTCAGGAACAGAGATTGCATACCTGCAGAAACACGTGGGCAATCAGGTAGCATGGACTCTACTGATGCATCCAGAGGTTCTGAACTTGATACCCAATTACAGCAATTCTGAAATTAAAGAGAACTTTGAATAATCAAATATCTTAGGGTTTTTTAACCATATTGTAGAAGCTTAATCATAGGGATTGTCATGTCAGGGCAATAAATAAATAAACTGGACTTGTAAAGTGAGGTTTGAGCTCATACAAAAGTAGAAGTAGCTATATATCTACAAGCATTATTATATTTATGTATAAATCTTCAGGACCAAATTAAGAGCTTTTGCTGTTTTGTAATTATATTAACATCTGAGGCAATTACGTCCACAAATATGTCCTCTTACCTGGCAATGAAATTACCATGGCAGTAGCATTAGCAATTATAAGAACTATCTGACAACTTTCTTCTCTTTCATAATTCCCAAGATCAGCTGCCTCAGGTGATTGGCCAATATGGGTAGCTATATAAATTTGATTAATAATAAATAAATAAACGATCCTCCTAAAAGGATTTAATATATTATATATGGAATTAATATGAGACACAACTCAGTCAAATAACATCTAAATGATGGAGAATATCCATTGGATTCATCTCACTCAAGTACTATGTCCAGCTTGGGACATCACACTATTAAGGGGAAGGTATACAAAATGAAACAGGTAGAAAGAGGATGAACTAACCATTGGAAGTGAAATGTGCCAAAAGAGATGGAAAGAATTGGAAATACTTTGTCCTTGACAAGAAATACTGAGGGGAGTCTACCATGCTTCAAATATCTTAACAGATGCATTAGTTCAAATAATATATCCTAATTGGATATCTATCTTTTCTGTACTTACGTAAAATTAGTATGGTTAATCGGGCTAAAACTTTATTAAAATGGAACTGATTCAAGTTGTCTTACATAAAATTTAAGATAGAGAAATGAAATAGATTATGGGAAATAAAATATGAATATTATGGATAATAAATCAGCATGAAATATCTCAATTTTACTAATCTATTAATTGCTTATTTCCTAATTAAGTTCTCTTTTACTTTTCAACTTTGGAATTTAAATATCATAGTGTTTTCTTAAAAATCATTACAATTTACTTTTCATAAATAATGACTGTCAAACAAAATAATCCACCAAGCTTTTGTTAAAATATGAAGACCTTTGATTTCATTTTTCTACAATTAAATACTTATATTAAAAATGAGGAATAAGAAAGAACTAAATACATGCATCCCAGATAAATGGCTGATTGTCCTAATGCCAAAAAGCATGTATTGTATATTTTTAAATGTTGCTGCCACAGTTGTGCACCATGGAATCCATCCTCACTATACAAATATTCTTGACTGGTAGATCAAATGTCTTATTATAGTTTCTTAATTCATTCTGTCTGGAAGAAGATGTCAGCTGTGTTTAGGTGAGGAGAGAATTTCAAAAGCTGTAGTCTCCAATAATGTAAAAGCCATGAGTTTTGAAAAGATTTGTCAAGGCAATCCTCCTGTTCTGGGACCAGAGAGAGGAGGAAGAACATAAAGAAGAGGTATTGTGTGAGATTAGAAACTGCTCACAAGCACCACATATTTTGTAAGAAATGCTAGATCAGTAAAACTACTGAACTCTGTGCAAAAAAGCCAGGAAAGCATTTAAAAATATAACTGACTAGTGTATTTGTTATCTTTTTACCTAATTGTGTGATGGTCATATTTCTGTATTTCATAAAGACTTTAAAGTGTACATTCGGAGACCTGTTTTTAATTAACACCTGAAAGAAGGAATTGGAATTTTTATGAGGTATTATATGTTTAACATAGATAAAATTAATATTTCTACTGATATAACATTACATCAGAGAATTTTAGAGAACACCAAAGATTTCAACAAAATTACTTTATACTATATATAATGAGCCATTGGCAATAAGAATTAAGTATCTCAAATGCAGACTGAAGATACAAAAATGGAAAATTTGTTTTATCAGTCATCACAATGTCTAACAAAACTTTAAAATAGGATTTCTGCTGGCACTTAAATATGTATGCTATGATAAAGGTAGATAGATGCAATGAAAAATTGCTATTGTTAACTATTCATTCTTTCGGTAACAGCAATTACCACTGCATGTACAAAGCAACTGAGAAAAAAATGAATTATTATTCAATCTCTCAATCTAAACCTGATATGGTAAAAATATACCCTGGTGGCATGATGTAGTTTAGAAACACATCTAAAATTCATGTAATATAACACTGTTTAGATGAGATTCTTTGAGTATCCCATCCATATTTTAATTCACTATTTTCTGAAAATAAAATCATGGGTAATGGATTGTCTTATTTAAATATATCTCAATAACAATTAGTTATTAGGTTTAAAATGGGAGATGTACATTTTAATGCTTTGCTCCTCATGATATATATTCAATGTTCTGAATTTTCATAATATAATATTTCTTTTTCTCAGTAAGCTTTTCAACTTGAATATTTTATTATTGGTATTTACTTGAAATATAAAGAAAGAAAACTTGTAAAACAAAATAAATGTAAGATTTCTAAGTTGCATTTTCAGAGTAGCATTTAAGAGTTAGAAAAACATTTTTAAAGAAATATTTATATCAATTCTCAAATGAATTTATTTTTGTTATTTACTAGAATGTGCCATTCCAATCACAAAAGACTCTTAGTGCTTATATTTCTTTTTATCCAGTAATATTAAAACTAAACAATATACCAAAGAAGTGAACTAACAGTACTGAACTATAAAGTTAGTGATCTATATGAAAGAAGTATGTTGAAGTGGTTTGGTTGTATAAGGAGAATGAATGAGAATTAACCCACAAAACATGCACATGATGGAATAGTAGGTTAAGAAGAAGGTGAAGACTATGAAAGTTACAGTTGGATGGAATTGGCACCCTCAAATAAAGTGAGAAATTTAAAGAAGGATGGTTTGCAATGTTAGAAAGAAATGAAAAGATAATATAAACGAGATTTAAATTAGATTTCCTCTTCTCATCTGCATTTCTTTTCTTAATTATGTCATTTTTTTCTGCACTCCAAATACAACTGACCCAAAACAAAACAGCATTATGGTAAGTATGTATGAATATATAACTTAGATACAATGTTTAGTGAAACTCTTTGATGATCAAAATTGGATTTTAACAATGATCTGTAATTTGTATAAAAAATTTAAGTCCTGCTGGATGAATTGAATAAAGTTCATAGTCTTTTTATAACAGTCTTTATATACAAAGGCATTCATGTCCCCATAAGGGAAAATTGTAAAAGCAGGAAGAAGGAGGTGCTGCTCCTAATAATAAGAATGCTAGTTGGTCAGTTTATGCACTTGGTTATCAGAATACAGTCTCACCTCTCGCATCCACTCTCGAACAATTTTATCAGCTTCTTGATGCCACACGTTATGAACTGAATCTGTCAATGCCACTGCAGTAACTTTATTTTTTACTTCTATTTCTCGCTGAATCATCTGTGGAAAATATAAGTCCAAAAATTTATTAAAATGTGATCAAACATCCAATGTAAATAGTCAGTGAACTGCTTTTATTGATCTACAGATTCACTAAAAACCCAAAATATTATTCAGTAAAAGTGGAAATTATTCAATAACAACTTTCATTTCTGGGTTGCAGAAAACACTATTTATATCCTACCTACTACAATCTTACTGAGCTTTCATTTGAATTTATTCACATCACTTTCTGGTCAACATGACTATCTTATTCTCAGAATCTTTCTGGAACTATTTACTGCCCAAACCTTAATTAAAATATATGTTCACTGCTTCTCATGTTAGAAAACACATAGTTGTGTACAAGATGAAAACAATATACTACTATTAGTTTTGTTTATAAAATATTGTAACTTGGCTTGTGTATAGCACTAAACCACAGTTTATTTTAGATACAGCCTTTTGAGTATGCAGGTCAGAGATATTCCTAACAAATGCAGTTAACTTTATTTTTTTTTCTTTCCATATCACCCCTGCTTCATTTCACTCCTGGAGATATATACAAGTGTTTTGTTTTTCAATCACTGTATAATTGGGTCTTTTCCTATGCATTGATTACAAAAGTTGAATAGGGAATTTAAATGCAAATATAGATGTTTGTAATAATAAATTCACTCTATAAGTACGGTAATAAAAGAGTGAGTAGACTATTGCGTAATGTAATTGAATACAGTAGCAGCAGTTGCAGAATTTTTTTTTTTAAAAAAGTGCAATTGAACTTCTTGAACCTGTATTTATCTTGCCAATAACAAAAATGTATATTTTAATAGATCTTTTAAACAGACAAAAAGAACAAAAAGAGTTAGTGCTTCCCAAGAGTGACATGTCAATCTCAAATCATGGTTATCATTATGGCGTGCTATCCTTAAATTATGGCTAATGAACTTTCTCATGATGAGATTGATAAAAGAATAAGTAAACTACAGGAAGTATGACCAGCTTGGTTACAACACATCAACTCAATATATCTTTTCAACTGTGACTTATGTATCATTCCCCCCCCAAATAGTGCAGTACAGAATGCAAGATTAGAAAGCAAAATAAAGAATAAGAGAACGAAGGACTGTTAACATAAGTAACATTAAAACCCAAAGCATTACAACTGGTATTGTGGATGGTATGACACTAAAAATATTTAGTTTGCAATTTTTTTCCACTAGAAATCACTAAATTTTTCATTTCAGCTAACTTAGCACTTTAATAACTTTACTGACTATATCTACATTTTAAATATCATTTTAAACTACTACTTTTAAGACATGACATTAAAGTATCTATTCACCTGGACAATAATCCCTGTACTTATAAAAAACCTAATTTTATACAATCAGTTTATGTAGTTGATATATTTGTGGTAACTGCCTAATTTAAGAGCAGACGTCTGTGGTTTTTATTTTAACTGGGCTTCTTCACTATATAGTAGCACATGAGTCATGTAATAATTTTGTGCAATAATTGTACAGGATTACTTGCTGTTGATCCAGTCAAAGTAAAAGACAGAACACACAAGCATCACAATTCAGAATATAACCACATTTTAAACCAATGGTTTAAGAACTAGACTAGATAAAATGTCTTTATAACCCAGCACTCTGTTTTAAATATTTATCAGCCTAGTAACCTTGGAAAACTGGAGATTATGTTGCAGATTATGTTGCACACAAATTATGCAGGATGGAAGGCAAAACTTTTATTACTTAAACAGTAATGGTTTTAAATCTAGTTTTGGTGCAGACAAATCATACATGCACTATAATTTAAAAATCCAGTCCAGTGCTTTTAAGACTTAATTTGACAGCCAAATTTTCTTATTCCTTTTCTTTGTGGTAATGAACATTTGGTACATTTCTGAAGATAAAAAAAGGGAAATACAGCTATTAAATAAAGTTGTATATGTTATTTTATAACCTGAAGCTTATTAATTCAGCTCTACTTAATTTTTAAGTATCATTCTAACTCTCATGACCAGAGGAAATGAAATCATATACCAGTGGAATTAAAAGTAGGTAATATTTTTGAGCTGTTGGGCATAACTGAAAAATTGAAAGTATGTTATAGATATGTAATTTGAAGATGATACACTTTCAAACATATAACTGGAGAATAGTCAATGGACTTTGAAAACAGACAAGTTTGACAATGAACATAGGAGGCTGGGCAAATAGAAGATATAGAAATTTACAAAGTTTTATGAGGATTTAGTGACGCTGTGCCACTTTGGTGTAGTGGTTAAGATGTCAGCTAGAAATTGGGAGATTGTGAATCTAATTCCTGTTGAAAGCATGAAGCCAGCTGGGTGACCCTTGACCAGTCACTCTAAGCCCTGGGAAGCAGGCCCTGGCAAACCACTTCCAAACCACTTCCAAAATGTCAAGAAAACTGTAGGGACATGTCCAGACAGTTGTCAGAAGGCAATACTGAATGGTAGCTCCACACACAAACAGGGGCTACTCTTATACTATCTCCTAAATCACAGGCAGCATATCTTAAGCATCAGAAGACCTGCTAAGCATCTTTCTGAAGTTCCCAAATGCATCTGGTTGGTTACTATTTGGAATAGAATGATGGAGTAGCTAACTCTTGACCTGATCCAGCAAAACTCTTCTCAAATTCTTACAGATGTTTTTTGAAAATGGGGATGCACGATCAATTTTATAGGCAAAGAACTTTGTAAACCTGTCAGAGTGTCCTACAGGAGAATAGTCACATTCTCTTTCTAGGAAGGAACAAGTAATTCTAAGATGAGCTGTTGGATGCAAATATGCAGGTGCAATAAAAATCGAGAAGTGATCACTCTTAATTTTTTTATTATCCTGGCATACTCCTGTATGTGGGTATGTCACTGTGTTTAGTCACATTCATCCTTTTTCTCCATTGGGAGAATTTCAAAGTAGGAAAAAAATTGGAAGTAATCTTGTCCAGAACTCTTGTTGCGTCCCTATTTCAGAGGTCAACACAGTACATGGCAGAGCTATGCTCAAAATTTGTGTTGAGAAATGTTTATGCACTAATACGTTATACAACAGCAGTACTACAAAAACACAATAGGGATATGTAATGTCATTGTGATTTGCATCTGGCTCAAAGTACACACACACACACACACACACACACAGAGAGAGAAGGAGAGAGAGAGAGAGAGAGAGAGAGAGAGAGAGAGAGAGAGAGAGAGAGAGAGAGAGAGAGAGAGAGAGAGAGAGAAGTCTCTTATACCTATTTGAACTGAACAAGGTTTCAGAAATAGGCAAAATGAAGCAAAGTGGCAATGCTTAAAAGATAGTCAAAAACAGGACTTCTGTGATTAATACAAAAAACAAAAGTATTAAAAAAATGGAGTATAAATTTCTTATAATTCTATAGAGACTGAGATGGATTTATAGAAGGCAATAATAAAATATGTATTCCATAAAGATGAAGATGATTACTATACATTTGGTGAAGACACAGGGAGCAGTTGTAAGGTTGATAGAATGAAATGATCATATAACTATTAGGAACCTTGTTGCAAGAAGCTTACTCATCCCTAGAATATCAAATCACGAACATCACCAACATCACTAGAAGTAGAACTCATCACTGATCTTCCTGAGTTGGGTTAAACACGCTAATACAAAGCCTGACAGGATTAAGTAATGAGCATATGAAGGGCTCTAAATGGTACTTGCAGCATATAGCAGAATCCTAATAAAATCTTGAAATCACAGATGAAAAAGAAAGGCATTGCTTTTAAATGGAAGAAATATTGCAGGTAAAGTATCTGTAGGAAGGCTTAAAGTTGCTGGTGTCTTTAATATTGACAAGATCAATAATGGAAACAAGGCAATAATGGAAACAAGAACATATAAACAGGCAAAGAAAGTAAGTTAGGTAAAAGAAGAAGAAGAATAACAAATTTGTTGCGGTAAGAATAGCAAAGGAAGGAAGCAGAAAAACTTTTAAGGACCAAAGGTAAAACTTAGCCAGTTGAATCCAAAAATTTCCTGATATTGTAGACCTGCTCCAATTCTAGCAATGAAGCCAATAGCAGTAGCTTCATCCAAGGATGAATAAAGCGTTGTGGCGCAGCCAACTATGCAAACAATTGTTCCGGTATGGCCGAAAGCAAAGGGGATACATAATCCCTGCCTTGTGCTTGGAAGATAATAAAGAATTGGTAAGGGTATCATAAAGTGGTTAAAATAACTGCTTCATATAGAATGTATTACAATAGTTTTGCCTTGAGATTATAAAATAAGTTTGAGACAAAAAGGATTAGTCTTTTTCATTAGGTGGAGTTAGTGTAAAACAGATTCAGTTCAGGAACACAATATGATTAAATCTAAAGTAGAAGAAAGATATACCTTATTGGACCTTAATTTTAATGCATGGGTAATCCTCAATGGATGGAATGGATGGAACAATGGATGGAAACTAATCAAGGAAATAACCAATCTAAGGAGAAATTTCCTGACAGTGAGAACAATAAACTAGTGGAACTTCAGAAGTTGTGGCTGCTTTATCACTGGAGGCTTTGAAAAAGAGACTGGACAGCCATTTGTCTGAAATGGTATAGGGTCTCCTGCTTGAGCAGGGGGTTGGATTAGAAGACTAGAAGATTTCCAAGGTCCCTTCCAACTCTGTTATTCTCACTTAACCAACATTTGTTCAGCAACCATTTGAAGTTATAGCAGAGCTGAACAAATGGTAGTTATGCCCGGTACCTGAAGTTATGGTGGTTGCAGCACCCCTAAGGTCATGTGATCAAAATTTGGGTGCTAGCCCACCAGCACCAATAACTATAGGGGCACTTCAAGACCTTCCACTCAGCCATCTCCCCCATCTCTGCCATTTTGGCTGCCCTGTACTTCACTGCCTCTATTACTCTGCTGGTCCTGCCATCTTATCCAAATTGCATGCAGCCTTTTCGCAAGGATTTGGAAGGATTCAAAGCCTTGCAAGGCCAAATGTGATTTGTATAA